GGGAGACAAGAGTGAAACTCCATCTCAAAAAAATAAAACTATAAACTATAAACTAAGTTCCTCCCAAAGCTAGCTCAGCCCACAGCTAGCTTGGAATGAACAAGGACAGCTTGGAGGTTAGAAGTAAGATGGAGCTGGTTAGGTCCGCTCTCTTTCACTGTCTCAGTTTTTTGCAATGGCGGTTTCAATGACAGCTTCTCATTCTTTCTGCAGAGCCACACTGGGGGTCATGGGAAAACAGAGCGATGCTCTTTGGATGGAATCATTCACGAGCGTCAGGTGTACTGACCACACTATCCTGCTCACTCAAGGCCATCCACACGCAGACTTAAATTCCAAAGAGACTCCTGTGTGGCAGAGCAAAAGGACAGGGGGTTACCTTGGCGGGTTTTCCTAGAGAACCCTCATTTCAGTCTAGTGAATTTAACGTTCTTTAAGAACATATTTTAATAATTTTTTTAAAAGCTTAATATGTTGAATAGGTAATATATTCACATGGTACAAAATTTGAATGGCAGGCCGGGTGCGGGGAGCTCACGCCTGTAATCCCGCACTTTGGGAGACCGAGGCAGATGAATCACTTGAGGTCAGGAGTTCGAGACCAGCCTGGCCAATATGATGAAACCCTGTCTCTACTGAAAATACAAAAATTGGCCAGGCGTGGTGGCTCAAGCCTGTAGTCCCAGATACTCAAGAGGCTGAGGCAGGAGAATTGCTTGAACCTGGGAGGCAGAGGTTGCAGTGAGCAAAGATCGTGCCACTGCACTCCAGCCTAGGCAACAAGAGTGAAACTCTGTCTCAAAAACAAAGCAAAACAAAACAAAAAACAAAATTTGAATGCCGTAAAATGGTATACAGAAACGGTAAGTCTATCTCCCATCTCTTTTCCCCCATTACCACCTGCCCATTCACCACTCCCTCCTCCACTTGTCATTACTGGGTTAATATTCATTTAAAAACTAACAGGACCTCTGCTTCTGGGAAGATGGAGTAGATGTACTTTTCTCTATTCTTTCTGTTAAGTACAACTAAAAACCCTGGATATTACATAAACTATAAATAATTTAGTAAATATGTAATATATAAAACGCCTCTTAAAAGGCAGAGAGAAGAAGGCAGACCAGCTAAGGATCTCAGGACCCAAGAAACAACACAGTGATGAGTTCTCTAGGTTTTCTTTTTGTTTCTTATGTCCCAGATTTGGAGTTGAAGAAGCTGGCAACCCAGAAATGCTGGTAAACTCAGCTGCAAAAAGCCCCCCCAAAAATTTGCTCTCTCTAGCCAAATGACCAGCCTAGTAAGACAGAACACGTGGGTTTGTTCCAGGGATATAAGGATGGTTCGTTATTTGAAAATCAATCTCATTCACCAAATTAATGAACTAAAAGAAGAAAACTTACATGATGCTCTCTATCAATGCAGAAAATGCAAAATTTAGCACACATTTATGATTTTTAAAATCTCAGGAAAAATAGACATAGAGGGGGAATTTCCTGAACTTGATACAGGGTATACACCATAAGCCCTCAGCTAACATACTTAAGGGTGAGACTGAATGCTTTGCCCCTAAGATGGGAAACAAACCAAGGATATTAGTCTCACCACTTATCCAACATAATGCTGTAATTTCTAGCCAGTGCAATAAGGTAAGAAATGGAAATAAAAGTCATATAGATTGGAAAAGAAGGAGTAAGAGTCACTATTTGCAGATTACATGATCGTGTACATAGATGATCCCGAGACACCCACAAAAAACTCTCTCAGAACTAATAAGTAAGTTTAGCAGGGTTACAGGATACAAGATAACACACAAAAATCAATTGCATTTTTGTATACTGGCAATGAACATATGGATATCAAATTTTAAAACAATGCCATTTCGGCCGGATGTGGAAGTTCCTGCCTATAATCCCAGCACTTTGGGAGGATGAGGTGGGAGGATCACTTGAGTCCAGGAGTTCAAGATCACCCTGGGCAACATGGTGAGACCCTGTCTCTGCAAAAAATACAGAAATTAGCTGAGCATGGTGGTGCATGCCTGTGGTCCCAGCTACTGGGGAGGCTGGGGTGGGAAGATTGCTTGAGTGTGGCAGGCAGAGGTTGCAGTGAGCTGAGATCACGCTACTGCACTCCAGCCTAGGCAACAGAGTGAGACCCTGTCTCAAAAAATAAAATCAAATAAAATAAAACAAAACAATACCATTCCTAGTTGCTCAAAAAAAGAGAAATAGGTGTAACAAACATGTTACACATAATAAAGCATGTGTAGGATTTGTTTTTTGTTTTGTTTTGTTTTTGTTTGGTTGGCTTTTTTTGAGACAGTTTCGCTCTTGTTGCCCAGGCTGTAGTGCAATGGTGTGATTTCGGCTCACTTTGACCGCCTTCTGGGTTCAAGCGATTCTCCTGCCTCAGTCTCCCGAGGAACTGGGATTACAGGCACCCCCACCACCACCACGTCCGGCTGGTTTTTTGTATTTTTAGTAGAGTCAGGGTTTCACCATGTTGGCCAGGCTGGTCTCGAACTCCTGACCTCAGGTGATCCACCCGCCTTGGCCTCCCAAAGTTCTGGGATTACAGGCATGACCCACCATTCCTGGCTGCTTGTATCGGATTTAAATGCTGAGAACTACACAACACTGATGAAAGAAATCAAAGATCTATGTAAATGGAAACCCCATACTGTACTCAGGAATTGGAAGATTCAACAAAGTAAAGATGCCAACTTTCCCCAAATTGACACACAGGTTTAGCACACTTTCTATAAAAATCCCAGTCATATTTTTTATAGATAAAGACAAGATTACTCTAAAATTTATATGGAAAGGCAAAGGAAATAGAATAGCTAAAAGAATTTTGAAGAAGAAAAATAAAGTAGCAGCACATATATCAATGAATCAGAATAGAAAATCCAGAAATAGGCCCACCCAAATATGCCCAACCAGTTTTTGACAAAAGTGCAAAAGCAATTCAATGGCGGAAAGATAACGTTTTCAAAAAATGGCGCTGGAGCAAATGGACACAAAACTTAGACCTAGGTCTGACATCTTATACAAAAATTAATGGATCATAGACTTAAGACGTAAAACATAAAACTATAACACTTTTTTTGTTTTGTTTTGTTTTGTTTTGAGACAGGGTCTCCCTCTGTCCCCCAGGCCTGGAGTGCAGTGGCGCGATCTCAGCTCATTGCAACCTTCGCCTCCTGGGCTCAGTTGATGCTGCAGCCTCAGCCTTCCAAGTAGCTGGGACTTACAGGTGTGAGCCACCAGGCCTGACTAATTTTCGTATTTTTTGTAGAGATGGGGCTTCGCCATGTTGCCCAGGCTGTTCTCGAACTCCTGAGCTCAAGCAATATGCCCACATCAGCCTCCCAAAGCGCTGGGATTACAGCCGTGAGCCACCGCACCCAGCCAAAACTATAAAACTTTTAGAAAAGAACATAGAAGAAAATCTTTGTGTTCTGGGGGCAAGGAGCTCTGAGACTTGATACCAAAAGCGTGCCCCATAAAAGGAAAAATGAGATTTTATTTAGGGGTTAAGAGTTTAGACTCTGGACTCTCTCAGCCCTGGTTTTACTAGTTAGCTCTATCACTAACTACTTGGGCATTTAAAACTCCTCTGTTGTCCCACGTGGTGCGTGGGTGATTGTAGATGAGGACACACATCCTGGAGGCAGAAGTAGTGGGTTGGTGGCAGAGTCTGGGTTACAACCCCTGGTCTCCTGATTCCGAGTCCAGGTGAGACACTTTCCCCTGCAGTCCACCCTGTTACAGAGGATGAAAAGGCACGTTATAGACTAGGAGAAAAATTTTGCCTACCACATATGTAACAAAGGACTAGCAGGTAGGACAGCTGAAGAACTCTCAACGTTCAACGGGGTAGAAGAACAAACAATTCAATAGAATATGGGCAAAAGACATGAAGAGGCATTTTACCAAACATGTGGTGCTATGATCTGAATATTTGTGTTCTCAAATTCCTGTGTTGAAGTCCTAATCCCCAAGGTATTGGTACTAGGAGGTAGGGGCTGTGGGAGGTGATTAGGTCATGAAGGTGGAGCCCTCATGAATGGGATTAGTGTCTTTATAAAAGAGACCTTTGCCATGTGTGAGGTTACAGTGAGAAAACATCTGTCTATGAAGAAAGTGGGCCTTCACCAAATACAGTCTGCTGGCACTTAGCTCTTCAACTCCCCAGCTTCCAGAACTGTAAGGAACACAATTCTGTTGTTTATAAGCCACCCAGTCTATGGTATTTTGTTATAGCAGCCCAGACAGACTAAGACAGGTGACACATAAACATGAAAAGATGTTCAACACTATTAGCCTTTAGGGAAATGCTGATTGAAACCACAGCGAAATATGATACAGTTTTCAGCATGGCTAAACTAGAAAATAGTGACACCACCAAATGCCGGCAAGGATATGGGGAAACTGGGTCGCTCAGACATTGCTACTGGGAGTGTAGAATGCTACAGCCACTTTCATAAACAGTTTGTCAGTTTCTTAAAAAACTAAACCTACAACTACCATATGACCCAGCAATTGCACCCCGATCATCTATCCAAGAGAAATGAAAACTTAATGTTTGCGCAAAAACCTGTGTAGGAACGTTCAATCAGCTTTATTCATAATATGCCCAAATGGGAAACAACTCAGCCGTCCTTCAGTACGTAAATAGTTAAGCAAATTGTGATACCCGTGTGTCATGGAGCACTACCTAGCAATGAAAAAGGAGCAAATTATTGATACATAACAATCTAGGTGAATCTCCAGAGGATTATGTTGAATGAAAAAAGTCAGCCCCTGAACAATACATACTGTATGATTCCATTTACATAACATTCTTGAAATGCTAAAATTATAGAGATGGGGAACAGATTTGTGGTGGTTAAAGATGGTGTGGGGTGGGAAGAAAGTAGGTGTGGCTATAAAAGGGTACCATGAAGGATTCTCATGGTGATGGAAATTTCTGTATTTTTATTGTATCCGTGTCAATATCCTGGTTGTGATACGGTAATACAGTTTTGCAAGATGCTACCCTTAGAGGAAATTAGGTAAGATCTGGCATCTCTCCGTATTATTTCTTAATTGCATGCGAATCTACAATTATTTTAAAATAAAAAGTATGATTGAAATAACTATCAGGAAGCTTAGCCTACTGGGGATTAAGACATCGAAATTGTAGAAGGCTTTAGCAAAGCTATACTACTGCAAGGATAGTTCACACTTGAATTAGCTTGAAACATTACCTATCTATGTCACCTCAGAAAGCAGAAAATGGACCTTTGTTGGAGTGGGACACTGGATGGCCAGGGTTTAGCAGAGCCTGCCCAACAAAAATAGCTTCGAAATTGACTTTATTCTCAGGAAGGCTCTTCCTGGACAGTGGCAAACATAGCCATAGCAAATGCTGGCTCACTTTCTGTCAGCCAGCAGCCCTGGTGGAAGAGGGCCTCTTACTCAGTTGTACAGCAAGCTGTCTCCAGGAGCCGGGGCTGGAGAGACAGCCAGTGTGGCTGAGGGTCTGTCTAGCTGCTTCTGCCCCAGGAACAAGGTCTGTCCTTGTACTCACAGCTTCCTTTTCTCTTGCAGACTCCCACTATTGCTTGGTTCTACTTCCTTTATCCCGACTGGCCGTCGGACTTATGCCGGTGCAGTGGAGCCGGTGAGTGGAAGCCCCGCTACCTGGGAGCCAGTTGGATGGTCAGAACCCTTTCCTCTGGGCCCCTGGGCCCTGAGCTACCCTCACAGTGGGGCTTTAGTGTTTCCAGGACACTCGGAGCCACTTTCTCACTTAAACCTCCCCCAAAGCCCCTCATCAGTAATGAGCTCACATACCCCCATCCATGTGGGAAGGAAGCAGTAATGAGGCACTCCAGCCCCTCCCAGCCAGGAAGGTATCGGTGGAGGCCTAGTGTGGAGCCAGAACTCCCAGCCCCACCCAGCAAGTTAGGGGTTAAGAGTTTAGACTCTGGAGGTCTGGCACAGTGGCTCACGCCTGTAATCCCAGCACTTTGGGAAGTTGAGGTGCATGGATCATCTGAGGTAGGGAGTTCGAGACCAGCCTGGCCAACATGGAGAAACCCCATCTCTACTAAAAACACAAAATTAGCCAGGCGTGGTGGTGCATACCTGTAATCCCAGCTACCCGGGAGGCTGAGGCAGGAGAATCACCTGAACCCAGGAGGTGGAGGTTTTGCGGTGAGCCGAGACTGCGCCACTGTACTCCAGCCTGGGCAACAGCAGCCAAACTCCATGTCAAAAAAAAAAAAGAAGAGTTTAGACTCTGGAATCTCTTAGCCCTGGTTTCAGTTCCAGCTCTATCACTAACTACATTGAGCATTTAAACAAAGACCACTGTTTCTCACATGTAGCATGGGGGGTTGTAGATGAGATTCTAAAGGCAGAAGTAATTTTCCCAAGCAACGTTGCTGGTTGGTGGCAGAGTCTGGGTTAGAACCTGGCCTTTCCACTATACCTTGGTGCTTCTCCAGACAGCAAGAACAAGGTAGGGAGGGCCAGGCTGGGGCCACTCAGGAAGCACTAGCTCTCACTGCACAGTGGGTGGAGAGGCCTGGTCACTTTGCCCCTGTACCCCTGGTTCCTAACATGGAGTCTGACCTTGTAAAACAGGTTGGCAGCAAAGCTGTCCTGGTCACAGGCTGTGACTCTGGATTTGGGTTCTCGTTGGCCAAGCATCTACATTCAAAAGGCTTCCTTGTGTTTGCTGGCTGCTTGATGAAGGTAAGAGACAGTTATCTTCTTCACCATGGTCTTTTACACAAAGTCATTGTTTTATAGTCTTTTAAAAATTCCTTTCCTAACAACCGGCTCACCTTTGCTTAAACCAGCCTGTCCATTTTCTACTGGCTTCAGTCCCACTTGTTCTTCATAGCTTTGTCCATCCATCATCCATGCATCCATCCATCCATCCATCCTCTCATCCATCCATCATTTGTCAAATGTTCTGATGTACCTGACACTTTGCTAGGTGCGTAGAAGAATGAGATCTTATCCCTGTCCTGAAGTTGCTCCCTGTCAAGTGGTGAGGAGACAGCCATGCGTAGACACAGCCGAAGAATTAGAGTGAAGAAGATTCTCAGGGGTGTGCGAGAATGTTTGGTGAGACTGTATAGAAGGAAGGAATAGATGATGGCAGGCCAGAGGAAGTGACATTTGTTCTGGGCCATGGTAAGTAAGTAACGCTGCCATAGGTGGGGACTGGGAGGAGTTACCTGCTGGACAGGAGGACTATCCTGAGCAGAGGCCTGAAAGCATGAGGCTCCTTTGGGACACATTGAGGAGAATTTAAGGGGCATGAAGGGAAGCACTGGGACCTGAGACTGCAGAAGCAAACAGTGGGCAGGTCTCCAGTTAGAGAGTTGTGCGCCCACCACCACCGTCCACTTTCAGAATACTCCGTCACTTGGAATTCTCTCTCCACCACTGGGAGTTAGTCTCCACGAACACCTCTAGCCCCGAGCGGCCACTGATTTCTATTTCTGTAGGTTTGCATTTCCTGGACTTCTCATCTACATGGAATCATACAATCCGTGGCCTTTTGTTCCAAGCTTCTTGAACACTTAGTGTAATGTGTTTGAGAGTCATCCATGTTGCAGAATGCATGAGTAGTTCATTCCTTTGTATTGCTGAATGGTATTCTATTGTGTGCCTATACTATATATATAGATATATATAT